ATAGGCAGCTGAATGACTTTAGCATCGCACACTTCGTCTATATGTCTTCTATTTTAAAGTAGTATGCTAGTATAATATTCAAATTCAGCCTGGAATTATTATTTATACCACCAATCGACATCTTCCAGACAGCGAATCCCCGCCCACTCCACCACGTGTTCGCTCTGTTTACGGAAGCGTTGAGAAACGCGTGCAGGTTTTATTTTTCTACCTCCGCAAAACATCAGAATGACCAACTTCAGATTCACAGGTGAGAGACACTGGTGCTAAGAAAACATTGGCATTAATCTGACAGACCCGATGTTCAGAGGAGTTTACAGAGGAACTCAGAAACATGAAGGTAATGACATGCTCATTACAATTCATATTCATTATTATTATAGCGATAATAATAACAACCTATAGTCAGTTCCCGAATGTTAATGAGTAGATTTTTTTAAAATGCAATTCAATATTGTGACGCTGATCATCACTATTACTGACATATTGTGTGGTGATTTTGCTTTTAAAACATTTTTATTATGATTAATAAGAGTGTCCATGCAATCAAACATAATTATTCTGGTTGGTTTTTATATTCACAAATCAAAAGACACATTTTTTTTTGTCTTTAGAGTCATTGGATCATAATCCGAACACTATCACAACAATTAACTACTGTTAATGTGTCATTTTAGTTTTAGTATGATAGATATTACATGTAAATTAAAAATATGTTTTTTAGAATGTATAATAAAGTATGTCATATTTGATCATCTGGTGTGTTGTGCCTCAGATGATTTTCCTCAGGTCGTGGAGAGAGCGCTGAGGTCAGCAAAGCTGGTTATTTATAAATCATATGTGGTCAGAATGAGATTGATGGTGTTCATCATCACTGGAGGAAACCTAGAGGACTCGCTCAGACTCGAGGTGTCTGCAAATAAACACTCTTACCATCAAGATTTGAACATTTCAAGCATCTGTTCTATAATCAGATGTCGTTTCTTAAATTTTGGAACCGCTGATAAATGGAATGGTTATAAATAAATCAAACAGCATCGGTCGATCTCTAAAAAATAAGCATATGTATTTCAGAGGAAATGCAACTTCTTAACTCAAACATGCAACATAATGTGGTCATGTGACACAACTGTAACAGCCTGTTTCCTGTGAACGAGTGTTTCTTTGTAACGTTTTATGACTGAAGCATTATATATGTGTTTCTACATGAGTGTTATGTGTTGTACATCAGAGGAGTTCTTCAGTACGGTGGGCTGTCACCCGACACACTGCGCTGAGTTCGATCAGCAGGGCTCGGGTCAGTACCTGGCGTCTCTCACAGATCTGAGCCTCGGTGACAGACAGAAGGTGATCGCTGTAGGAGAGTGTGGCCTCGGTAATCACATCATCACATCACATCACATCATGGCATCATCATCACATCATCATAATCACATTATGATATCATCACGTAATCATCATAACATAATGACATCATATTCACACCATGGCATCATCATCATAATCACATCACAACATCATCATCATCAAAATCATCATGACATCACCATCATGACATCATCACCATCATGACATCATCATCACCACATCAAAATCATCACGACATCATCTTCATGACATCATCACATCACGACATCATCATCACATCAAAATCATCACAACGTCTTGACATCATCATCATGACTTAAAAATGACATCATCATCACATCACCATCACGTCAAAATCATCACACCAAAATCATCACATCATCATGACTTCATCATCACATCATCACCATCACTACATCATCACATCATAATCTCATCGTGACATCATCATCACCACATCATGACATCATAATAATCACATCAAAATCATGACACCATCACCACATCATAATCATTACATCATCATCATCACCACCACATCATCATAGCATCTTCATCACCACATCATGACATCACATCATCATCATCATGAGTCATGACATCATCTCATCATCATAATCACATCACATCATGACATCATCCTCACCACATCTTCATCCTCATCCTCACACTGGTCTATGGTCTGGTCCACCTTTATTTGACCCTCTAACTCTAGCACTTTCTATTCTATTTTAATTCTACTTTATCTACATTTATCTTCTTTAAAAAATATATATATATTTATATTTTTCTATTCTATTTTTTCTATTCTATCTACTTGTTTTTCTTTGTGTATGTGTGTGTGTTTATGTGTGTGTGTAATATATATATATATATATATATATAAATAC